AAATTAACCACATAAACTTTGAAAAAGATTTATTTATAGCTTCATACTCTCTAGTACGAGATATTAATATCGACATACTCTTTCGAGTATCACCAAACATGAATTTTGATGCGTTCGGAAAGACGAGCGTACTCTTTTTAACGACACTGTTAATGAGCATGAAATATTACTTTTTAAGATTTTGTTTTTCTAAAGACCTGTATTATTATGGGATTCTTTTTATTTTTGGGGTTTTGATATTGTTTTTGGATTATAAGGTGGGATTTAACCATATGTTATGAAGCTTTTAATATTTTTTTTTCAATATTGTTTAAGTTTTTGTGTTGTTACTTATAATTACGTTTTATATAGTAAAGTTAGTCTACGGTACTTACAACAGTACTGAGTAATTATTAAATCTAGTGCTAATTCAGTACCAAAAATACAATTTTTCCAACAATAGTTACAAATTGTGTTACATAAATAAGGATGTGTTCGTCTTTTTCCATAAACACATTTTGAAAGTGTATGTACGAACTTGTGGACATTTATGGACATTCATAATCTTTTTTGACTTGGTAAAAGAAGAAGAAAGTGGCTGTCTTCTTTCTTACTTTTAAGAACTTTTATCCGCAACAGCAAGGTTTTGTACTATACAGTTTATAACTAAGGGGGGGGTGATTTTCCGGAACTTGAAAATTTTTAAAAGACTTATTATTGCTGGCTATATCTTACTCTCGTCTTAGCCTTAGCCTTAGCCTTAGACTTAGCCTTAGCCTTAGCCTTAGCCTTAGCCTTAGCCTTAGCCTTAGCCTTAGCCTTAGCCTTTGCCTTTGCCTTTGCCTTTGCCTTTGCCTTTGCCTTAGACTTAGCCTTAGCCTTTGCCTTAGCCTTAGCCTTCTCTAAATTTACTATATCGATTTGTTACACATTACAATTTGTCCATTTAATGTTCACATTACTCATTCCACGCAATGTTTCAAAAAAAACCTTTTTTAAATTTCAAAGAACGGCTCCACGAACGATGTTTGATCTCTAGCGGCGATGAGATTTAAGTCATGTTTTCGATTTAAAATCAAACGAGTAATAAGGTCAGCAAAGAATAGAATGGTGCGATGTACCAGGTGTCATTTTTTACATGTTTACAATAATTATCAGCAAATTTCAACACGGTATCTTATCAGTCGGGGATTCATGAGTTTTCTTTGTATTTTGGTAAAATGATAAGAGACTACGGTTTAAATGTGTTGTTTGTAAATTTAAACGGGGTTTTTTGATTTTGTGGGAAAGAAGAAGGTTTTGTTGTTCTTTTAAAACTTTTTTTTTATTTTAAAAATTTTTAAAATCTAAATTTTTGTTTTGTTTTGTGCATAGACGCAAGTAGAGTAGGGAGAGTATAGAGGGTGGGTAGGGTAGGGTAGGGTAGGGTAGAGTTAAGAATTTCGTTTTTTTAAACGCCTTTCATGTTGGGGAAGAGGATTGTGTTTGTTAAAAATTTTTTAATTTTTTTAACGTCAAGCCGGTGTGGAAAAGTCTCTTTTTTGAAAAAAAAATGTATCTGTTTTTAAAAAAAAAAGTTTTTGGTTGGTACGGCCGAAAAGATATTTTTTCAACATTTTTTCACAATAATTTGAAAATTTAACTTTATCACCAAAGGCTTATTTTAAAAGCTTCCACAAAATTTTTCAAATTTTCTGAAGTTTCGCACTTTAACCGCCTTACGAAACCTTTTTTTCAAAACATTTGTAACAGATTTACAAACAAGAAATTTCATTATCTTTTGAAAATACAAATTTGCAGACTGTTTTAAAAGAATAATGTTATCGTATTACAAAAGACGTGGCGAAATTGTCATTTAAATAACTTTAAACTCTGTATTGAAGTGCAAGTGTGCCTCGAAAGATATTTGGTATTTCTTTTCAATACTTTGGGTAAACATATTTATTCCGCTCTTGTTAATTTTGTGTGTCAATGGTTTTTTTTCGAATCAGCTGATGCTAAAAATTGTGATGTTTTGGAAGCTTTGATACATTTTTTTAAAAAAGTTTTTAAATATTAGACCGCTAGGGAAAAAAAATTTTATAACAGGGAGGGGATGATTTTAATGTTAGCATACCAGTACGTATTAAAAAATTCTTTCTTAACTAATTGAATATGAACTTTTATGAACTTTTTTTAAGGTGGCCATATGTTAAAACCCAGCAAATTCTTTGTAGACTAGACCGTCTACTTCCTTCTTTTGTTTTTTGTGCACTTTGGTCAAACATTTTTATTCGAAAAAGAACCAAAGCACGAGGGACGGCGATTTTCTCGTATTCTACAATATTTAGAGCGGTAGAGCTTCTGTAGGAAAAAATAAAGTTAAACTTAAAGTTTGAGTTAAGTTTAACGCTAGGTCTGAAGCTAAGGCTATTGCTAGCACTGAGACTGAGGATACAGATGAGGATAAGACTAAAATTTAAGCTAAAACGTAGGCTAAGGATAAGGTTGTGTTTAAAAATACTTAAAAGTTAAAATTTATATCTAAAATTAAAAAAAACACCCCTAAAAATAGCCTCTCCTATCAAAGAAGACTAAAAATAGATGACAAGATCATTTAGAGAACGGAAGAACTTTTCGAAATGTTTTGGTTAAAAATGTTTTTACACTGAAATAATTGGCGGAAAGTATGTCATTTGAAGATTGTCTCTTTCATCCCACCCACGTGAGCCTTGTGTAAGATAATAGCAATCAGATGGCTGGAATCAAGTTTTTTTTAATTTTGGTAGACAAAATTGCTTTTGGAAAATGTTTTGCATTCTCTTATGGCCATTTTGAAGTGCAGTTAATTAAATTTATATTTTTGGGGGAAAGATGTTAAAAATAATTTTAAAATAGGGTAGTTTGGCTTATTGAGTCAACTGCTTTCTTCAAAGAAAGATATTTTTTCTAAGGTGGAAGGTATTGTTGGTGATAATCTTGAGTAAGACTAGAGCGAGAGTAAGAGTAAACTTAAAAAATTAGCTTAGAAGCTTTCTTTCTCTTTAACATAACTTTTTTTTGCTTAAAATTGTGTAAAATACGGTTAGTCCTTGTGCAGTTAACAAAAAATTATTAAAATTTAAAAATTCTTAAACCTACATACAGGTGACAGCTTACAAACCTTAGTTTTTCTCTAGTATTGACCAGAAAGAAGTTATGTTTTGAAGAAAACGATGATTTTTATTAACATTTTTGATGTGTGGTCATAAAAATTTTGCATAAAAAAGAATTTATGACTTTATTTTCGTACCTTCATCATAACAAATTTTTTTGTAAAATACGCCTGCTTTTTTAAAAATTATCTAAAGGACGAAAAATATGTTTTAAATACACTTGAAACATTGTAATTGATTATAAAATGGGGTTTTTGATGTATATTGTATCATAGCTTTTCTATAGTGTATTAAAAAATGACATTTTAGCTAAACTATAAGTAAGTGTGACATATATGTTTATATTTTCAAAAGCACACACGTAAATATTTACTTATGCGTTTACATTTCTTTATATGGCCGTTCTTACTTTCTAAAAATACACTTCCTCTTGAATTACATGAAAATATTTACAAGGGATAATTATATACTTATATGGATTGCTCTTTCTTACGATTACATGTTATATGCCGCTTAATTTTATAATTCGTGGAACTTGTTTTAATATGAAGCTATGTTTATATGGTCAGAGAACAGTAAAGAGGAGGGGAAGTAATGATACGAAAGCACTAGGTGAGGGTAGGTTAGGGTAGGTGAGGATAGATGAAGATAGGGTAACTTTTTACAATTTTAATATATCTAATGGTACCTACAGTACCTAACACTAACCCAAAAACAAATTTTTGACAATTTTACTTCAGCCGACGACCTTTTTCAAAAAACTCGAGCTTTAAAACATAAAATTTGAAAAAAGATCTTATGCAATGGGATTTTAATGGAAACGGAGAAAAACATTCCAATCGATTTCGGCCCAGAAAGTGTTTATCATAACGTGGAAATGCATTATTTCCAAGTACAACAACATTACTCTCCATTATTTTGTTTTTACTTTAAATTTTGGAATGATTTCGAGTTATAACAGTGATCAGATTCGGTTAACTGTATTCTGGTTGTAAAAAGTAGCTGGCGAGAAAGTTTTGTTGCATCAAGCTCTGTTTTTCAATTGTTTTCGAAATTCTTATTGGATGTTTGGTAAAAATGAGTTACTTTCGAGTTAAAAATGATTTAAACAACGATTTTTTTTGAAAAGTTAGTGCACGGTGCAACAGAAAATTAAATTTTTAAAATTTTAAAAAGTGGATAGTAAAAAAAAGTTTTTCTGTACGTTTACTGTTAGTACTACCTATTCCTTGTCTATATTTTATGTTTTATATGTGCCTCGTTTTTAGTTTTAAAAGCATTATTTTTTGGAAATTTTGGTTGCACTGTGCAATAAAATTTTGCATTGTGAAAAGATAGAAAATATTAAATCAAAATTTAAAAAAAACATTGTTATTTGCATGTATTTTTTCAATTTTATTATATTTCTAACGAAAAAACGTATATCCGTTGTGTAAGACTGCTGTTTATTTATACATTATCATACTTTTGTCTAGTGTAATATTACAAAATATTTTTTCAGTGATTTTTTAAAATTTTTATTTAAAAATGCTCATAAACATAATCCACAGTTTTTCAATAACATAAAACACTATTTTGAATCGCGGATTAGCTGTTTTATGAAGTTCTGTAACGTAGAGGAAGAGTTAACTTACTTTTGACTTTTTGAGTCAACTGTTTTTTTTCAAAATATTATTATAACTTTGAAGAAATTTTTGGTATATAAATTCGTTGATTTAACATTTCTATGTTTTTTGTAAAATACGCGCATTTAAACTTTGTCAATTTGCGAATCTTTTAATCTTTAATTCTTCAGCTTGTGTAATATTGCCTAAAACGGTTGCAGCTTGACTTGGACTTCTCGAATAAATTGATGTGAGATACGGGTAGATAAACCACTGAATCGGGATGCCAAACGAACTCGGACATTTCAACGACTCTTACATTGGCTCCCGGTCGAATATATTGAGCCATCATCAAGAGAACGTACATCCTCATGGTGAATATGTGGACAAGACGATTCGGCTCAAGTCAGATGTGAAGATTAGTCTGAACGACGTTCCCCATAGTCCTGTGGACCAGTACGAAAAGTATGGCAAGGTTTTGGACACGCCGAACAATGGCACACCTAAATGTATGTTAATGTAGGGGAATTGAGGTTTTTTATGTAAAATAAGGTTTTTGAGTTCTTTTGTTAGCTGACTAAATTTGGATTTAAGTTGAAGAGAATAAACTAATTTATATTAATTATGTTGAATTCTAGCTTCACCTCAATGTTTATCACCTCATTCGAACTCACGAACATCGCCAGTTTCTCGTGGAGCCCAAGGAAGGCGTCGAAGTGTTCCGGAAAATGCTCTAACGCCGAAATCAACTAAAGATCTTCCACCTGCTGGTCCATCGGTTTATCGACCACGTCGCAGAAGTTTATTTGCGGCTATCAAGGATAAGTTGCATCCTTCTTCGAGCAATTTACAGGCTCCAGATGAGCAAGAAGAGCCCATTTCACAGTTGGAAAAAGGTCTGTTTATGAGGTTTTTAGAGGGAAAGGATAGTCGCGCAATAATATAGGTGTTTATTTGATGTTCGGAATTGAATATACTCTCTGGTTATTTGTTTTTGGGTTTCGAAAACATTGTTTTAAGTGTTTCAATTGAATTTTTTGGGGGTATTGGTAAAGGGTTTGTTTGTTACCTATTTTTTGGTTTTAATGAGGTTTATTGTACTGATGTTGTAATAGGATTATATTGAAGTTGATTTGTTTGCTTTAGAGTATCTTTTAAGTGTGATTTCGAAAACGTTTAGAATTGGTTTTGTTTGTTACCTAAAAATCGAAACTTGTTATATTTTAACTTTTTTTAAACATTTTAGGGTTTTTATTGTTGTTGGCAATGATCGATTTGATAAAAGACTGATTAACTGATATTTTTTCTTATATATTTTTCATGATTTTAGATATTGGCTATCCTCCGCCGAACAACACTCCGCCATTTGAGACCTTTATTGGCTCTCCGCATGCAATGGTTGTTGATCAATTTAGGCAACGAAGCAAATCAGATGCCGTAAGACACCGTGGAATTTCAATAAATTCACAGCAAAATGATCTGGACTTGAATGATGAGCAATTTAGCAGAGGAGCGAGCACTGAAGAGGATTGTTCAGACATGGATGGAGATGAAAACGACAATATTCCTATGTACAAAGTCTGTTTTATGAGATTTTGTTGATTTTTTTAGTTTTGGGTTAATCTTTGATTTTTTTTTCTTGGAAATAATAGTTGCAAGGAAGAGTACGTTTCGTATTTTACATTATTTTACCTAAAATACCGTTTTAGCACGAATTTCGAGCCCCAACGGCTCGTCGCTCTTCAGCTATGTATTTCCAACCTCCGAAACTTCGTTCACGTCGTTGTTCCGAGGTTACAGATGATCTACATTCAGTTTCTTCCTCAACACCAGGCAGAGGCGTGATGGTTATGTTTTGTAAATCTCCGCCGAATTCATCGTGTTTCTCGCCGGCTACACAAAGTAGACACAATTCACAGCAAGATTTGGACTTTGAGAGATGTAAAGGCGACAGTGCTACTGAATTCGATCTTGATGAATGTAGGTTTATATTAAAATTGCTCATTTTTTTCGAAAAATTGGATTTTTAAGCCAAAACTTTAATTTTAGGTATCAAAGTTATGAAAACGTTAATTTTTTACTGAAGTTGGAGCTTTAGATAACAATTAATAACCATTTTTGAGTTTTAGGCATCAAAACCTATTGAATTCCGATTTCTTTTTGAAAATTGATTTTTAGGTAACAATGTTTAATTTTTTGAAAAACACCAGATTAAATTGCATAATAATATTAAGGTAAAACAATGTAAATATCATAGAACAATATAAAAAAAACCATTATCAAGAAATACCCATTTAAAATCCGTGTAATCGTCTTTTGAAGCAAAGTCAAGTCTAGAGAACGTTACCACTTTGTTCCCAATTGCACGTTTTTTTCTTCCTCGTTTCGAGATGATTGTGCCTTAAGTGCAAGTTCAATATGCTTTAGCTTCCAACACATTTCAACAAGTTTTTTTCTTTTTTACGAAAATTTTTAGTCTGGAAGGGGATTTTTTGCGGTGATAAGCTGATAATGACCATGCTTGAGTTATAAATAGTTTAAAAGTTGCGAGATTGTTTTTAGTTTGTAATAGTTTTAGTATTATCATATTATAATGAGGGGTTTTTGGTAAGGGTAAGAAACGAACCGGGTCTACTTTTAAGGCTTGGCATAGGCCCGAGGCTTGAGTTTTAGGTCCGCCCGTTTTCATTTTCTTTCAAGCTGAAAAAATTGTAAACCTTGGTACGGCTTGTATAAAAAATTTTAAAACTTTAAAAATTAAAGAATTTTTAAGTTTATTTTTGAAGCAGTAAGGATAAATAATGTATACGTTGATAGTGATAGAAAAGATGAAGTTTACTAACGTTATAGATAATTTATTTAAATCTGCTGTGTGGGAAAAAGAATATAGGAAACTATTTTAACTATAACAGTTACGTTCTACTATTAGTGTAATAGTTTTCAAAATAAAAACAAACTTCTGTAGTTATTTGTTGGTTAGTATTAAGGTTGTTAGGTCAGTTGTGGGCCTAACCTCAAAAAGAATTTTTGAAAAATCAGGAAAAAAATTCTAAAAATTGTGAATTCTGAAAATTTCTTGACCAAAAATATTTAATCTAAAATTTTCAAAAAAAGGTGAACGTTGTCCCCAGGGCTGGGCGCGAGGGAAGGGGGGGCGGGGGGGGGGTACCCTCCCCAGAAAAAAATTTTCGAAAAATTTGAACGTGGTCCCCCCCCTGTGGATTTTTGAAAAAAAAATTTTCGCAAAAAATCGGCACAGGTAGCTAGCTACCTGTGCCGATTTTTTGGACCCCCGCCCTTAGACCAAAAGTCCCCGCCCGGCCCTGATGACAATTATAATACACTCACATGGTCATTCTGATAAAGACTATAGTTTTTACGAGGGTAAATATTGTTTTCATGAAGCATGATCTTTAGTTTATGTGAAAAAAGGGTTCACGTAATTAACTTGAGGGAAATTTTAATAATTGAAAAGTTCGAAATTTCTATTTGAATGGAAATTTTTAAATTTGATGTTGGGAGGAAATGTCATTTTATGTACTAGTTTGAGGATAATGTTGTTTTGCTGACATTTTGTTATGACTTTTTTGAAATTAAAAAAATTGAGTACTGGGTAGTTTTTGCAATTTTTGTAATGTTAGTTAAAACTGCATTTTTAGGCTTTACTATAGATTTTGTTGCCTTTATTATTGACCTACACTAGACGATTACGTATTTTACAAAAACACTATTTTTAGGCCTACTATAACATGTTTAGACCTAGTTTAACATTTTGATTTCTAGTTTAACATTGTTAGACCTAGTGGACTATTTATAGCGGCATTGAAACATTTTTAAGCCTATCATAACATATTTAGACCTAATATAATATGTAGAACGTCCTAATAACATATTTATGGAAAATGGAACTTTCGGCCGCAACAACCTCTAAATTTATTATTATGAATAATAAAAGTTTTGTTATTCGGAATGCTACAGCTGCTTATATGAACCACAATATTTGCTGATAGTTTCTGAATTGGGCTGAGGAGAGATTTGTTTCCATGTGATTTGAAGCACGCAATGAAATTGGTTAGCACGCGTTTTTCTCCATAGAATACTTTAATTTAGGCTATTGGATGTGGTTGTGGGGGATAGTTATTGTCGTGAGGCTTTTATTAGGGTAGAGCTTGTTGAAAAAGGTTAATTTGATGGAGGTCCAATTGATTTTTTTAAAAGATGTTCATGGCTTTCTAATTTTTATAAATTTTATATTTTTTCAGCCCTAGCCGATCTCTCCTTGTCACGAGAATTATTTGTGGACACAAGTGTAGCAAACCATTCTTCATCGTCTAACAGCTTCAACATGACCAACGATGCCCCACACACTCATCCAGTCAACAATCACGGATCATCACCGTCGAACATTTGGAAGCGAATTATCTCCAGGAAGCGGGCTGTTTCTGCTTGCCATGAACAGGTATGTTGTCTTGGGTGTGGTACTTGATTTTTTTGTATTTTAAAATGGTGGTACTTAATTTTTTTGTAATGTAAACTACAGTTGGACGATCTATTGTGTTAGTACATCCTTTGGGAATACTTTTTATATGTAAATGTGGGTTTAAAAGGCATTTTTTTCTAGTTTTTTAGAGTGTGTGTAGCAGTAGGTAATAATTGAAAGAATTTTTTTAAAATTTATTAATTTTTAAATGTTAACGATTTTTATCGTATTTTACAAAACTCAAAACCATTAATTTAAGAACTGAAAAAATGATATATATTTTATATAATATTTTGTTTGTTCTTCCAACGGTAAATGTTTGACCAAATGTCTGGTTATGACTTTAAATTTTTGTTTTCCCAACAGTGGCAAGAGCGTCATTTTAGAATTAGTTAAGGCATAAAGTTGTTATGCCTCAATTTCTTCAAGTGTCAGTTAATTATTCATATGTGTCAAGGCTCATTTTTATGTCATGGTAACTGTCAGGTGATTCTAGCGCTTTTCGACAAGATTCATTCATATTTATGGGATGGCAAACAAAAAAGTTGAAGTTTTGAGCAATATAAGCTTGTCTTTGGATAAATTTTGAGGTTTTGAGAAAAAAAATTTTGGGATGGTAAAAAAATTTTTAAATTTTTTTTGGTGTGGAACATTTTTTTGATAAAGTGAAAATTTTTTGGTTTAAAAATGTCATTTAGGGGTTTTTTTAAATTTTGTGATAAAACACTTTTAAGTTCACTTCCAGGAACTTTTGTTCCAAATTTGTAATGTAATAAGGGCGAAATTCGATTGTGTTAAGTAACTGTTTGAGAAGGTTTTTCTGTTTTTGATTGAACGGATGGGAAAAGTTTGAAAAAGAAATTTAGTTTAACCTTTGTAAAATAACGTAAAACCACGTTTAGAATGAGGACATTGAACTGGTATGCTTTTTTGGTTTATATCTTTACCTATATTGACTTTAAAACTAAAAAGAATTTCTATTTTTGGATCACATGTAGCGTATTTTACTATATTATTAAGTGAATGTAAATTAGTTTTTACTTCTGTTTTGTAAAACATGTTTTTCTTTATTGAACCTATAAAAAGATTTATTTAAAATTTTAAAATTAAATTTAAAAAAAATTTTGTTAGGTCTAGAAGTATAAAACATTTTTTTTACTACAACTTTGACGAAGCCTAGCTACATACATGTATATTGTATATAAATCTCTAATATAATTTCCGTGATCTTTGTAGCCCAACAATTATCTTTTTTTCAACTTTTTGTTATTTATCACAAGTCTGTTGGCTTTTTCACATATTCAAAGACTCAGTTGTTCAATTTTTGACACTTTTTTCAGTCTGGTCTTATGTCTGCTGCGTTCGCTTGACGGCACGAATAAAGTACTCGAAAGTTTTCCTATCTCCAAGAAGTTTTTTTATTGTTTTCGAGCCTTTTTTTACAATTTTACTGCGGATGGAAGTAAATTTACTAGGTCTTGGGCTAACAATTAGCTTTGTTTTTGGATTTATCTTCTAGTAGAAAAGTAGCAATATGTATTGATAAAGGAAAGGTAAACCAAAATATTATACGAAAGGTATTCTATGGTCTTTTGACGTCATTTATGACCGGCAAGAGTCTTGTTTTAATCATGTTATACCATATGATGAAGCCGATAAGTGGTTATAATCAAATAGCCTCAGTGTACTTTTTGACAACTTTTTTTGAGAATTAGAATAAGGGTTTGATGGGTATTGGGTTGTTATTTTTAAATTTGAAATTTTATACATTGTCTTAAAGTTTTGGTTTTTTTTCAATTTTGCACGGTGCAAAGTTTTAAAAACACCGAGTTTTGCAAATTTTTAAAAAAATTTTATTAATTTTAAGTGTTAACTAAAGAAAAAATGTGTTTTTACAGTTCTTGTTTGTAGTTAACATTAATAATCGATCTTCACGATGCAATTTTGAAAATCTAATCTTCTCCAACGTGCAAGAGTTAAAACAATATAAATTTGCTTGGGCAATAAATCCAGGAACCAATTTTATCAACTGAACATTTGATTTTATAATTTTTACGATTTTTCAGCCACTGACCGAAAACGCTCTGGATTATTTTTCGGCTTCTTTCAACGGCGACAGCGAAAACGCGATGGTTTCCCCAATGTCCGTGAATTGTGAGTTTTGCACGTTTTATTAGTATGGAATTTCTTGGACAGGGTTTTTTAATTGTTTTTTATATTGTAGTAGGTAGACTGCTTTAAAGGGACAGGCAGGTTAAAGCTGTGAGCCCGGTCTTTTTTAAATTTTCATCCACACAGCTTAGTCTGGTCTAGGGCAGGATCATAACAGAGACTGGTTTAGCGGGCTTTTTTATGTCTAGTAGTAGGAATGACAATATTTTCATAACCAGCCGTTCAAAATGCCGATATTTCCAAAACCATAGTCTAACAGACCAATTTTAGGCTTGGTGATTTGTTTTTTAAAAGTTCAGCACGAGACATTCGTTTATTTATTTACTTTGTACAGTGCGTACAAAACACGAAGCAAAACGTTCAAAATATCACGTCTCTGGGTGTCTTAAACATTGATAATATCATTAAAACAGGAGGCTGTTACACAGCCTTTTTCCCAATTTGCAAGCGTCTTTTGGGCAGTGGCTAGACGGGTTCAAGCCTATATTTGGGAGGTTGATTTTAGAGAGCTTTAAAGGTTATGGGGAGTGATTTTAAGGGTTTGCTAGTGATAAGGAGAATCTGGATATTTGGATTTTTTTTAATTTAAAAGTTATTTAAAAAATATTGTACATTGTTTACATATTTTTGTGCCCTAATTTCAAAAATTTGTCTTGAAAGGGGGCTCAGAACTATTTGAGCAACTTAGTAATATATCTGTACTCACATTGGCTTTGTAAGGTAAAGATAAGAAAAAGGAGCTAGGAAAAACTAGATTCTCAGCGTCATATTGAGTGTTCTTTAGAATTGACTTACGAAAAAGGTTAATTTAATGCTCGCCTTGTATTGAATCGGGATTTTCTGGGGTTTAAGCTTTAAAAAAGACTTCCGGGAAGGAAAAAAGGAAAAACATTACGTGATAATAAAAGTGTTTGGCTGGAACTTTGTTCTTTCAACTCTAGAGCTTTTTGTAATATAACAAAAGTAATGTTATGACTAGTAAGTTTATGGTGATTAAGAAATTAAATGTAATTGGGTGATTTATGTAGTAAGAGGAATCTTCTGAGTCAGCAAATTGATGCTATCTGCCTTGGTCAATATAATTATGATATTTGCTTTCATCAGTAAAGTGATGATATCAGCTTTGATTGATCCAACTTAGAATTTCAACGGGTTTTAAAAGGGTTCTTTAAACAAAGTTTTAAATAATAACTAAACATTTAGAAAGGCTGGCTCAAGTTTTTTTAATGGGTTTAATTTTTATGACGATATTGTGAACTGTTAATAACGAAATTCAAAAAAAAACTTGATAAGCTTCCAAGTAATGTTCTTTTCCCGCGAACAAATTTGCGAAGTTATTAGTTGGGAAACGACGCAAAGATTGAGATCACTTTTTTTAAACTTCTTGCTTGGTTAACGGATTCACGTCGCTATTGATTTCTACATAATGGGGTGATAGCATATGTTTTTGTATGGAAGCGGGGAGGTATAAGGGCGTTTTTATTGGTATTGTAATTGTATTAACGGCGTTTTTTAATGTTTTTGACGTTGTAGTATGTATACCTGAGTATACTTACAACATCAAATCTTTGGCACTTTTGTAGTTTTCGAATTTTTGATTTTATAGCTTATGGGGAAATGTTACTTTTTAGTTTTTAAAGCAGTAGATAGGTTATTCTTTAAGTTTAGATTCAAAAAACATATTATTTGTGAGCTAAAATTACTATTTTTGTCAAATGTTAGCTGTTAACAAGGCGAGTAACAAAAGAAACGCGATAATAGTGATTAAAAGGCGCTTTGGAAAACAGCATTACACGCATTACAAGTTTGAAGGAAAAGAATAAACGGGAAGCTTAATAGCAACGAGGAAACGAATACTTCTTTTCCTTAACGTTAAAACCTTCTAGGAATGTTGACTTAAAATCGACTTACAATTTTATGTTTACATGCAGTTTTTACGACTTTTTTTGAAAGGATTTGTTATTGTGATGTTGGGATATTGAGATTTTTGAGCTAAAGTACTGTGAGGTATAGTGAAATCTATTTAGTATCATATGACCCTCGCTAGTATGGCATTCTCTTTATAATGAAAGATTTCTGAACGCCTTTTGTAATAGAGTTTCTATCAAAAAATACCTGGATAGTGTGGTACACTGGTTGTAATCGCACTTTTGGTCCAGCCCCTTGAGTATCATACTGAACAGGTTAGGCTGTATTCAAATTACAAATTTTTTTGCACGGTGCAGTTTTTGGCATTGAATTCGAACGGTGAACGTTTGTAAATTTAAGTTTGAACAGTGCAGCTTCTTATTTATATTTGAACAGCCCAATTTTACAAAATCCCTCCAAATTTAACAATATTTTACAATATAAGCCCATAAAATCAAAACCCTAACAATTGTAAACCCTCGTATGTCAAAGAAACATTGGCTGCAATGAAAAACGACTTTCCATCAGACATTTTCCCAAAATAAAGCTCGCCATTCTTTTTTTTTCGATTTCTTTCAACGATAACGACTTTCATAGAGCTGGAAAAAGAAAGAGCGGGCCATGATTTTTTATTCGTAAATGCATTTTGTTGTTTTATATTGAAAAAAGGGACTCGTGCATTTCGGCACATATTCCAGGGTCTGTCGTGCTATGAATTATTAGTGGAAAAGTTTTATTGAGATTGACAAAGTTGGGGTTATAATGTTGGAATAAGGTTGAGTTTTGGAAATTGGAGTTATCGATGAAATATTAAGGCTTTACAGTTGACAATATTAGTTAATAAGCTTTTTAAAATTAACATTATTAGCTGAAGAATTCAACGTTTTGAAATTCTTTATCCTTTGGTTATTTTTTTTTTTTTGGGTTTTAAGGGATTTAGAAGTAAATTCGGCTGGTTAAGTTAATTACACTTGAAGTTTTTTATGTTAATTGTTACGTTTACGCTGTTTTTAGTAATAAACGCGTTCAATAATTGTCAAAAAATGCGTAGAACTTTATTACTTTGCTTTACATGCATTGTGCAGAGCTTTTTCTTCAAAATAATGTTAATTTTGCCTCTAAAACTTATTTTTCTACATGTTTGTTACCTAAAATCGCACAAATTTTTGTTGTTTTTTTGTATGTAAACGTATATGAAATGTTTTTTTTGTATAAAGTCAATATTATTGTTTTTCTCATTGAGTTTATTTGGATTTTACATTAAAAAACGACTGGAAACTGAGAAGACACGTTATTTAGGTAACAAATCTGAAAGGTCACGTTATTTAGGTAGTAAATTATAGTTTTTTGTAAAATATGGTGATCATCAGTTGTAATTATATTTACTTTTTTTTGTTAATTAGTGTTAGATAATGTTCTTTTTACAATTTTTTTCTGCAAATTTAGGTAACATATTCTAGTTTTTTTGAAGAAAAAAAAGGTTTAGATAATAAAGCTATAGTTTTGGCATTTCTTTGAAAACTCGAGGTGTTAAATTATACTTTTTTCAAATTTCCGAATGGTTTGACTATTAAAATTGTAGTTTTTTTGTGTGCACGGTGCAGTAAAGTCGCGTGCTCGTCAACTTTGAAAGTAATATTTGGACTTTGTTCTCAGTACCACTACTGGAATTGTGGCTTTACGAATTCTGCGGTCAGAATATAAATGAAATGATTAGATTTGGGGGAGATAAGGGAGGGTTATAGCAGTAAAGTAAATAAAAATTTGCGAGAGCGGGGTATATTTTAACATTATTTTTTGATGTTTGTTGTAAATTTGTTTTTTTTTTCAATTTTAATACTATAATTACAACTAATAAATAATAAAACCTCACTTTCAGCGCTCAACCGTTCAAACGGAGCTCGAACCGGCCCAAGGTCTTCACTACATCCTCATAATCCCAACTATTTGAGTGCGTCGAGGAACAGAAACTTGATGATGTATCAACAACATAATCAACGGTCGGTTGATTCGAATGTGGATTTGGCACGCCATGCTTTGCTCATCCGTGAGGTACGTCTTTTTGTTGTTTTGTTTTTGCTTTTAGATGACGATGCCAATGTCAAAGACTGTAGAGATGAAAGGGTTGTAGCGGAAGGGCTGCTGAAATGGGGGTTTTGTAGAACAGGGATATGTAAATATTAGTTTTTAGGTGATGACTACTTTTAAACTTAATTTTATGTAGAGAAATGACAAATTATTTTAATGGGTTTTTCATATTGTAGTAGGGCTTCCTGGGGAATATAGCTGAAATTTCTCTTAAAATTGTATCAAATTGTGCGTTATGGTATTATAAAAGCGTCTTGACATTTTCTTTTTTCCATATTTCTTGGGATTATTTTACTTCTGTTCGTACTATACTTTAAATACTGCACAGTATAAGCTTTAAAACACTCAAAATTCATTTTTTTCAATTGTTCGTAACAAGATTTTCGACGTTATTCTATCCAAAGCAGTTGAAACTTGTGTGCCCGCTACCAAACGTCACTTATTCTCAATTTGAATAGCCCACCGACGAGACGAAACTAGAATATCACGAGTAACAGTCAAATGATAGCCTTTTTCGTCTCACGGTAACCGCTAAACGGGACTTTTGCCTCATTCCCGAAGCGGCCTCGAGCAAAGAACACGTTTTTTAATCCTAAATAGAGTGTTCATTCGCTAAAATACTCTCTCTCTCTCTCTTCATTCCGACCGGCTACACAAGGGCTTGGTTATTCTCTCGCGATCTTTTCCCCTTTCCCCAAAGGCTTGTTGTACTCGTTTCCGTAGGAATTTACCGGAAAAGCACGAATTTTTATGGCCCATGGTCGAGTGTTTATTATTTTTTATAAACCGCACGTATCCGGAACGTTAGTTTGGTTAAGGATGTTTTGAAATCTTGGGTGTATTTTTTTTTTGTATTTTAGGAAGCTTTTCTTAGCGTTTTAGCCTTATTTTAAATGGTTTTGGGTAACATTTTGAGGTTTTAATTTGGTTTCGTCAAGTTTTGATGGCCTTTGGACGTTTATTTGTCTTTTTTTACAACTTATTGTACATAGGAATGTAAGTAATTCTGCAACGAGGATTGATAACTATCAAAAGACGTACATAACCTTTGCGAAATGTTTAAGGAAGTAATACAATAATATACGGCAATTTCAAGGCAAAGTAGATAAAAGCTATGACTAAAAGTAGAATAAAAAAGGAATACCTTAGAGGCTAGATCAGATACTGACAGAGTTTTCTCGGTGAGAGGTTTATTAACAAAAACGATGAGTAATTTTGTAAAACATAATAGATAAAAAGGTTGAAAGAAAGTGAAGTTTACGACATTTTGTACGGTGGTGTAGCGAGATTCTGTATATTGATGTAGCGATGAGAAGGTAGTCGATAGTTTTCAAAAGGTTAAGAACTGGGCAGTCTTCAGTTTTTTAATGATGCTTTTTGGGGCTCAGAATCTTCCGTGGACTAGAAGATGTTCCGAACAGATTCCTCTTGATGCTCTTCTTCTTATTCTCTTTGGCTTCCTCCAGTTTGTCCATCTCTTTTCGGTATTGCATTGCTTTTACAATAAGATCTGCCGCATTCTCATACATTGGCTGGATGTTGTGTTGATCAAAGTTAATTCTGCTTGACGGCGATGCTCCATCATATTCCAAAACTTTCCTCATAGGACATCGAGTTTGATTACATTGGGCTAGAATTGAGCTGTTACTGAATTCTGGAATCATGGCACGGTAGTAGGGCTCCATAAAGTATAGGGTTGAGTGGATTTCTTTCTTGGTGATACCTGTAAAAATATTTTTTTAAACATTTTTAAAATATTTCTGAGGTTTCACTATAATAGTTCTTACCTGTAACTTGTTCAGCAATGTCTTCTTCGATAGCCAAGTAGATGACAGCTGCCGCCAAATGTCGATAACTGTGGGTAAGATACTCTTTGTCGACCATGGCAATGTCTAATACCTAAAAAGTATAAAAATAAGATTAGAACATAAATATACTTATGTAAAGAAAACAGTATTAAGGTTTTCCAATCGTAAATTGATGTTAGGATTGAAAAGAACACTATCTAAAACACTACTTACCGAAGCCAAATGAATGAACTCTTCCCTAAAATACTTTGGACAAGCAAATTCCCTGAGTTTTCCTTCGGCCATTGAGAAATGTTGGTCAGTCGACGCGGAAGCCAAAGAATTTTGAGATGTATCCGACATCCAATCCACACAGTCCGAATCATGAAGATCGGAAGTAGAAGGCTCCGATATGCGCGCTTTTTTTGGTCTTGGCGCGTGGAATTCATCTGGAATTATATTTTGTATTCTAAGACACATTATGTTCTCGATATCTAAACTCATAAAAAATATCAAGTATAACATACCTTGAGCAGCAATCAACTGCAAGAAGAACACTAGCCATTGCACGCCAGTCATCTGTGTACAATAATATCCAGTCTTCTCTAGGAGTTCTTCCTCTCCAAGAATAATATGATCTTTTTTACATTCTGCCCAATCACTACCACATTGATAAGCCGCATCAATCAGCTGCATAGTGCTAGGTGTACGATGCTCTTCCATTTTTCCAGCTACAAAGATGGCCGCCATGCCTATACTAACACATTGGTCTTGAAGACCTTCATCATCTTCAGTTCTTGTTAGGTATCGATCACAAAGGTCCATAGCCAGATGGAAGGTTTCTCTGTGGAGGTTTAGTGAGGCACAGATCTAAAATAAGGTGTTTTAGCGACCAACTAATACCTAAACATACAAAAACAATAAGAAATAACGTACCTGAAGTAGATTTTCGTACATGATAATCCTGACAAAACTATGCGTCTCGCTGTGAAGAACAACACGAGAAAATCGAGCATAGTTCTTATTGATCTTCTCATCAGCCGATTGACATAATCCGTCCCACAGTTTTGTCGGTGAACCAAATTCTCGCATTCCAATCAAGATATGAGGCAGTCTAAGCTGTTTTTGTGGACTAGGCTAAAGGAAATGAGGTTAAGAAGGTAGAATAATGTTTTTTAAAACCTAAGATAATGTCTTTGAAAGGTGAATAAGATGAATTGGACATTTTGAGGTCGCTTTTATATTATTATGAGGAATAACCTAAATTTAGAAAGGATAATGTCACTTTTCATCAAAGAACTTACTGTTTCCTTGCGATTCCTCTTGATAACATTGACTTTGCTTGGGGAAAGGTATTTCTGACTGTTTTCTGGCGTTGAGAAGATGCTGTAGTTAGCAATAGATTCATCGAAATATCCGGAATCTTGTGTTCCTCTAATTACATTCTTCTGAGATTGAGTTGGTTTGATATTGCCCAAAGGTGGACGAGCGCGCTTCAAGGGACTTTGATTTTGACTGGACTGTGAGGAAGGGATGAGGTTGTGCATCTGAAAATTTAAAATAGGTATAGTAAAGATATTATTTAGAATATTTATAAAAAAAAACGTTTTAAAAAGGACTGACTTGGACGAAACGCGCGCGTTTTTTTCTAACGAAAACTAAAACAATTGGCAAAAAAAATTTTTTTTAGTCCAGAAAAAGCGTCATTATGACATTTTTTGTGGACTTTTAGTTTAGAAAATGTGTCAGCACGGCTTTTTTATTTGTTTTGTTAAAAAAAGTAAATTATAGTGCTAATTATGATTCTTAAGCTACTTTATTAAAAAATATGTCATTATAACACTATTTTAACTTTTTTGTAAAATACGTCATCGATGGTCCTAAAAGGATATGAAAACGGTTGTTTTGGGTCGAAAGCTAACGTAACTTATATGCAAATCAGAGTGAACTAACTGTTTTTTATAACGCGATCGTATTATCGGCCTCCGAACGACCTTCTATCGAGGTTACATAAGATAACACGAAAAGAAGTGGACGATCGCTATCTGTTCGAATGGTTATTTTAGGCGGCATTAGAAACTACTGCTTGTAAATTGAGTAAATAATGTTGTTAGAGTGAACATCAGATAAGTTTATTATTAGTAAAGCAAACATTTTGGTTTTGGAACCCAGTAATTCTTTCGTATTTTTGTTTTTATGGAAATTTGAAAGAATTAATGGATCGATTTTGTGTTATAAGGTAAAATACGCCATGAGGGCAAATTGGATTATAAAGAGTTGGGTTTGTTGACTAAAAATCTATCTACTTGTTGACCGTATCTTCAAAGATCGGCCGAAATTTTAAAAATATAAAAATTAAATTAGAAATCATGACAAAAATGGCCAAAATCGTGGCGTCCCCAGAAAAAAAAAACACTGGCAGCTGTTGAGCAAGACTTTCTTGGTCCAACGCAAATCGGAATGGCATTTTTTGAAATGGGAATTGCGCGCGCAGCTTCCACCCCTCCTCCGATCTGGTTTATGCCGTTTTTTGAGCGATGGTCGCAAATTTGTTTATATTTTCAGATTACACACAAGTTACAGAGCTCACGAGAGTGCAACACATTTGTCATTAAAAGTTTATCGGAGTGAGGGCGAGGTTAATATGACAGTAGAAGGGAGTCTTATATTACAGTAGAGGCAAATATAAGTGTTACTTAATAATGCTTTGGAGGAAGGATGACTTTAGTGTTTGTATGGCGAAGTGGCAGTAAAAGCGGCACTTTAAAAATAATGTATTATAATGTTATATAAGGCGACATTACAATATATATTGATTCGAATATGACCAATATTAAGTCAAAAATAAAAAAAACTACAAGAAGTATAAACACAAGACCTTTCCTAACCAGAAAACTTTTGAGGTCTTTGGTCAAGTGTCTATAAATCGTATGTTATTCGATTTTTCTTTTCTTCCGAATTTGAATTTGTCTTGGTTTCGAACGTTGCTCTCGTTTGTTCTGACCGCCCGATCTGTCAAGTGTTTTGAGAATGGGAAAGGGCAACAGTAGCACAATAAATGTAATGGATATTCAGAGAATCGGCTTTTGTATTGAATTTTGCGGTCTTTTCTGGATTCGATTCTGACTCGAGTTTTCTGCTTGATTTTATGGATCAAAGGATTTGGTTTTATGGGTGTTGATTGTCTCAAAGGCTACAATAACATGAGACCTGGAATTTTCAAAAACTTAAAATAAAAAAATTAATTTAAAATTTTTTAAAAACTTAAGGAACAATGAGTCAGAAAAACAATACTTTTCGAAAGATAAGACAAAAAAATTGATTTTTCAACCTTTGAAAAATTTCGATTCTTCGGCCCATACAAGAAGAAACAATTTTTGTCGCTTTTGATTTGATTGTTTGCTAAAATTATTTGCCTCATATTCAAGTTCTCTCTTCAATACATTTGTGGGCGAATCTTGGTCACGAGGAACGTCGTTTGATTGAAAGAGAGAGAGGAACGTTCGCTTTCTTAAGACCACATGGCAATTTGTGAACGTCATGTTTAGTGCAACTTATAATTGATAGGTAGGGACCAAAAATAAAATTTTATTTGTAATTTTATTTTTTAAAATAGAATTTAATTAGTAATGAATTATGGGTATAATTAGGGTGAGTTGCAGGGTTTTACAGGGTTTAAATAGTGATTTTTAGTAGTTTTTATTGTTTGTTATGAAAAACAATGTTTTTCACGCAGTAAATGATACCTTGGGAAAGTGAATGTTTATTTTTATAATTTTGACGTAATGTCTGATGTGAATGGCCTTCTGAAGACTTTTTAATCTGTATTGACGATGTTTTTGTTTACGTTTTTTTAAAAAACAAGATTCTTGTTCAAAAGGTTAGCAGCTTCTGTGGCGAACCCTGTAGTATAGTCAACTACAATGTCATAGAAGTATTTAGTATGCCTAACTATAACGGCGTAGGAGCTATTGTATGGTTATAGTAACGTTGGCAAGGTTATTTGTAGTATTTTTGAAATTTATGTCTTGATTTTTATTTTGACAGTACTAGCTCTACGAAACATATTCATCACGTCACTCGTGCCAATCTAAAACCGCTACATTCTTACTAAACCGACCGTTTTTTAAACGTTTGAAAGCCCGTGGTGAGAAGGAAAACCAAGTCCGTCTATTAAATCCGTTTATTGCATTGTTTTTGACTGGCCAAAACAAAGTTTTCAAACTTTGAAGCTCAATTTTTGTCACTCAACATGGCTATATGTGGCTTACTTTCCTATATATTTGTATATAAAACTATACAGCTTTCTCCTAGAGCTTGATTTTCGTTGTAGGAGTTAAGACTTGCGCTGTAAAGGGAAATGAGAGCAGTGTGTTGGTCTATATGTTGCTTAAGGTCCTAATTGTGGTTGTAAAGGGTACGACTTGTGCTGTAAGGGAACGTCAGGGTAGGATTGTGTTCTATTTTTTGCTTTAGGTCCCAACTTCGTTTGGTTGAGGATAATTTATGTTGTTTTTTATACGAATGGCATGATTTATGGATTTTGTAAAACTTTGCACGATAGAATTGAAATTTAGGCTTGTTATTGGAGATTTTTCCCATTGTGCACGATAGAATCTGAGAAGAATATGACGATTTCTTGTGGGATAGTATTGTCATTTCGATCTTTTATTTATATAGTTAGGTTCGTCATGGTCTAGTGCGCTTATGGGGTGTTTTAGGGAACAACAGGCTACATAAAGTTTGTTTTAGGATGCTAAAAACAATAATTTTTTTAAAATTTTTTTAAAACTTTATTTTTAAAAATTAAAAAAAATTTTTTTTCATGCTAAAAAAAACATCTATTTAGTGTGTTTTTTTTTCTAAAAGTACAAGCTTTTTTCCAACCGAAAAAGTTTAAACCATAAAATATGTTGAAGTAGTTCAAAACCGGCATTCCAACCAAATTGTCGACCAGCGGGGCAAAACAAAACGTTCGTCTTCTTTATTGACGTCGATCCCACCACGTGTTTTCTTCCTTCCCTCATCTGCCCTTTCTTCCGCACATTCTTTGGGCCGCTTTTCCTCCTTCTCTGGGCCCCCCTATCCCGGTTTCAAGCGGTCGTTTGAAGACAGGACAAACAACGGTTCGGCAAAGTGTCAAAGCGGGAATTTGCTCTCGTTTTTTTTAATAGATTTTAAAACGAAAATTGGAAGTTTTGGGTTGTTTTGGGGGTAGATGTGGGTTGTTTTGAAGGTATTTTTGGTTTTGGGTAGATATGTTGTTTTGAATGTATTTGAGGTATAGGGAGTAGCTATAGGTTTTTTGAAATTTCGGGATAGATCATTATTGTTTTTGAAGTTTTTTTTTCGTTGTTTTGACGTGGAAATATTAATGAAACGGCCTGTAATTAGTTTTTGTGGCAATTTCGTTTAATTTTTAGTAGAAGGGTTATTTGGCTTTTATTTTGCCATTTTTTTCGAAAAATTGGACATTTTTTCACCTGTGGCTTATTGAGAGAAAGAAAATATTTTTTTTATTATTAAAATTTTTTAAAGAATGTAAGGTAACTGTTACAGGGTTATCTTCTTGATTTTCTTGATTTATTTTTAAAAACTGCGGTTAAAGTTTGATCTCTCAACAATCCCCCAGTCTTTTTTTTTCATCTGACAGTTGTTCTTCAGCTCCCATATGCTATCAGTGTTTGATCGGATCAAGCACATAGGTTATCATGGTTAATTCGATAAATTATGACCGAAATTGCCATGTGTTCGTGTCATATGACAGTGTTTTTGTTTGGTTTTTCCTTTTGTTTTGGCGGTCGATTTCTGAGTGAATAGAAGTTAGAGGGAGATATTATTAGGAGGGTTCTGTGACGAAGGGGGAGTGATGGCAAGTTGAGTTTTGTAGGTTGTCGGTATTAGTTATTCTTGATTTTATGGCATCTTTGGCAGTCGTTTAATAATGTAGTACCGTGCTGAAGGTTTAACTTTCTTGCACCGTGCAATGTCTTTAAGGTAATCTTTTGATACGAATTCACATCACCCAAAAACAGCTTTTTAACCTACACATCCGTCTCTGTAAACTCATTCTATTCTTGTCATATTTTTTAATTACTCAACTAATTATAACATGCTGACACTGCCCAAAACTTTGTTTATTGGTACACTAAATTCGGCATTTTTATCTAATTCGGAATGCATGGCTGTTTAATTAATTTTCCGTTTTTGCACGAAGGAAGGAACGTTCACCATGCCCTCGTGGCTTTGTGGGACCTTACTTTTCGAGTTGGCTGTTTCAATTGTTGAAATCGGAATGCGGAGGAAATGAGGGTGGAGGTCTCTGTTCGGAAGGTTTTTCTCACTGTTTCATGAAGTTTGGAAGCGTGTGACATCACTATTCTTGTTGAGTTTGAGGGGTGTTTTGGTGTCGGTGGGGTAGTTGAGTTTGAGAAGGCTTTTGGCCTTGGTGAAGGTATGATAGAGGGAGGGTTTGTTTTTTAAGGAAATAAGGCGGCGATGTAGTGGTACAGTAACTACCTGTCAGGTTGTTCAAATAATTATTTGCTCTCTATAAAAGCAAATTTTTGGGATTATGGGGCACAGCATTATGTGAACATCCTAATATAACCTTTATCTTCTCTTAAACCGCCTCAGCTTTCTCGGTACTCTTTAATTTTAATTTTTAAATTAATTAAAATTGTGTGTCAGTATCACAATCCCTTGCCAAACACCATTCCAAATGTTAATATGCAAATGCCACCGTTAATAATATAATGATTTCGAAATCGCTTTTTGTTCTGCAAAACCGTTGGCCTTGGTTGCCCGCTTACATGAATTATTTTTGCCCATTCTCTCTCTGTTTTTCCTACTCGTTCGCCGGTCACGTGCTGTTTCATTACGGAACAAGAAAATATATACCAGTTAAATGTTTTCCCTATTCTCCCATCTAATCTGACGCCAACAAAACGCAAAATTTGTTATGGCCGGCAGGGCTCTGCATTGGTTTTAGCTGAGGGTATTGGGAGGTTGAGTGGTATTTTTTGGGGTTTGGAGGGAGGGTTTTTGACGTTGAATGGATGTTTTTTGAGGATTGAGGGGTGTTTTTTTAGGTTTGAGAGCAGGTTCCCCTAGTTTTTCCTCAATGGCGTAGGCTTGAATGTTACCTTGATATAGGATTTTGTGGTTTTCTTTGATAAAATAGGTTTAAATTTCTCTTTGCAAAAGATTCTTTGGTGTCTTACTGACGTTTTTGAATGGATAAATTGATATACTTGATGAATTCTGGTTTAAAACTGACGAGATCTTTATTATTTATACCGTAATGACAAGAGGAAAAACCCGTAATAATATCAAAATTAGTACTAGACAGTATCAGTCTAGTACTAATTTTGAGTATTAGCCTAGTACTAGTTATTATCACTTAGTACTGCTATATATATGAAGTTTTAAATGTTAAATTTTGGCCGTAAAACAAGTTCTCGCAGTAAAAACAAGGTTAAATTCTCTCAGTTTGATTGTACATGACGCAATTGATAAGAAGAAAAACTCATGAATAATCAAAATCGTTTTTAAAATTAACGATGGTTCGGATTCAATCATGAACGAACAATGACGTTATTAACATAAACAGCTGCTTCATAACCTTTGGTTTTGCTCAAATGTACTCAAAGATCAATAGGCTAGTTAAGGGTTAGGGGGTATTGACGAGGTAAAGGTTTTTATCTGTTTTTGATTAAACGAAAGTTGTACAGGATATTGAAGTAGATTTTAAGGTAAAGGGCCTTGTTGTAGTCGTTTTTTGATAGGAAAGCATTGTTATAGGCAGAAAGATGGCTAAGATGGCAACTTTAGCAATGGTAAGATTCTAGTATGGTATTTGATGATTTTATGTTGTTCTTTATCTCCCAATACTAGAATAATGGGTATTGTGGCACTCCAGGTATTCTAGTTGGTTGTTCAAATAATTATGTGCTCCATAACTCTCAACATTTGCTTTGATGAGGCACAGAATTATTTGAACAACCGAATAGTGAACCTGTTCTAATATTATTCACAGAAACAGAAGCCCATAACTTATATGTTATTCGTACTTATCGTTAATCTCCTACGTTTAACCTTAATCTTGTCACGTTGCACTGGTCTTTAAATAATTTACCAAACATTATTTTAAGGTTTCCAATCTTGTTTTTCCTCCTCTCTTAATCTTAATGCTGGATTATATTTAGTTTTAATTAATTTACGTTTAAAAGGGCATTTGTTAATTGTTTTCTTATTTCAAAAGGGCGTTTTGAGAATTTTTAGGTAATAAAAATTCGTTTTCGGGATTTTTTTCGGAATAAAATGGCATTTTTGGTTATTTTTAAAGACTTTTTTGACAATATTGTTATATGAAAAAATAATTTTTGGAGTTTTTTTGGCGCTTTGTTACCTAAAATTAAGTATTCTGATTACTTTTTTTTATAATACTATTTATAATACTAATAATACTGTACATTTCGGAACCCTACTATTAAAATGTTGTGCTTTTTGGGTGTTAGTCATGAGAATATTTCATAAATTTTAACGAACATTCGTGACTAAAAACAACCGTTATTGGCGTGGGAATAGTGTACTTTACTTTCTTTGTGGATTATATACTAGCCTCCTCTTTTAAGTTTGGTAAATACGATTGTGGTTTGTGGGCTACTATAACATCACAATTGTTTGTTGGTGACTAAAGTTTAATCTACCGAACTTGGGGAGGACAATATTGGTTTATATTGTCGAATACCCACTGTTTTACTCACTATATACGGCTCTACCTTACCATAGAAGGCTGGATTGATATTTTAAATCCTTCTGCGAGCTACAACAGGCTTTAATTAGGACTAAACTACTTAAAACTAGCATCAAGCCTAGCCCAAACTACCTTATTATTCTACACTACCATAACTTGCAATCACGCAGTTCTCGACCGGTCGACTTCTCTTTTCTTTAACAAACACGCCGTCCCAAACTCAATGTTCACGGCCGCTAAAAGCGGCCAATTTCGGCGCGGCCGTTTTTCCAAATCCAAATCGACAGCCTCCGGCTCATCGACCGAAAGTGCGATACCTACGGTTAGTGGTCGCATAACCCCACAGATTAGTGTCAGCGAAAACAACAGTCGATCAGTGTCAGAATCCTCAAATTACAATGAATCTGAATCCGACCCACCAAGCAGAACGTCACTTTGTTTGGCAATTCAAGAGGGCAAGGAGTTGGATTCAAATGAAATGGCAAAGTTAAGACAAAGTGGAGCAAAAACACCGACCGGTAGAAAGCTTCCACCACTTTTCAAGACCAGAATGAGGGTGAAGTCAGCGACAACAGTATTAGGCTTTTTACCTTCCTTATCATCGCCAAACAAAGAAGAGAAGAAGCCTTTGAGTGTGGATGTAACTTGTCCTTGTGTGGAGAAGATCAACAGCCAAACTGTGCCAAATTCAAACTTTACCAACATTTTCAACCGCAAAAAGTCAAAAACTTCACATCTACAAGCTCCACACTCCGGGCCATGCGCTTTCAGCGAAAACACCGACCCATTTCATCAACGTTCCAATTCTGCATCACCAAGTACGATGGAAGGCACGTTAAGCCCACCCCCAAGCGCTTTTCTACCAAACTCGGCCCAAAACAGCCCTCGCCCCAATAGTGCACAACCTAGTCCAGTCTCACCCTTATCACATTCGTACTCAGCTCGCTATCACGGCTCTACCTCGTCCAGCAACGCCAGCTCCCCCAACTCGGGTCTGTTGGTGAAGCAACGCTCAAGCTTTGGCGGATCATTCCGCTACAGCCCTAACCTATTGGCCGCCCAACAGGCGACCCAACATCCTACAGTCTTTGACTTTGAACATTGGCATCAAGATAACCTGAGTAAGGGTTTAACTTTATACTAATCGTTTTAGGGATCTCTACTGTCCAGTTTGGCTAATACTAGTCATAACGCATCCAGCTCGTCGTTATCGTCCAGCATTCCTGAAGTCAATAAGATCATTTTTGGTGCGGCAGGATTAGCTTTTTAATAGAAAAACTGATTTTTTATTTTAAGGATATTTTAATTTTGAAAAATTTCAAAAAAAAATTTTTTTTTAAAGAATTTGCACGGTGCAGATTTTGGATTTTTTGTCCTGCACCGTGCAAAGTCTAAAAAATAACAAATTCAAAAATGAAAAATTAACCATTTTAGGTACTAAATTGTTTCATTTCAGAAAACCAAGAAGCTGTATATTCATTGTTCATGAAAGCTCACAAATGCTACGATCTGATCCCAACTTCTTCGAAATTGGTCGTTTTCGACACAGAACTACCAGTATCGAAAGCCTTTTTTGCTTTGGTATACAACGGAGTACGAGCAGCACCATTATGGGACTCGGCGACTCAACAGTTCGTGGGAATGTTGACCATCACCGACTTTATTCAAATTTTACACAAGTAAGTGATAGAAAGAAGGTAACATTATATAAGTGAAGACGGCCAGATCTTTCTGGGCGGTTTGGTGGAAAAAAAGACAAAGGATACTTTAGAGTATTGTTTAGAGTAATACATGTTATAAAAAATGACGTTGATTTTGTTGTAGGTACTACAAAAAAGACGCTGTAAGTGATGGAATCAAAGAATTGGAGCAACATAAGATCAGCACGTGGAGAAAAGTGTTTGAAGATGATGGTCGACTGAAGAAAATGATCACAATAGATCCATCTGAAAGGTAAGATCTTACGTAAGACAGCATTTTTTTTTCTTGAGGTTTCTTTTGAATTTTTATTAGTTTCTGACCACACGGGTAAGAAAACTTTTTTTTTTAATTTTTGAAATATTTTTTGGTGTTTTAATGTTTTTTAGATATTTTCTGAAATTTTTAAAATTAGGTTTGTTTTTTATGGTTCAGAACTCTCTTTTCTACTTTAACATTCTCGATTTCAGTCTGTTCAAAGCCGTGGAAATGCTGTGCGAACATAAAATCCATCGACTCCCAGTGCTGGAACCCCTCACCGGCGACATATTGTACATTCTAACACATAAACGCCTCATCAAGTTCCTCTTTTTATATGTAAGTTGAGATGAAGGTTTTCAAATTTTAAAGTTGTATACATGAGTTCAACTGCATTGTATTTTCTCTTCGAGTCAGTTTTTGAAAGTTTTTCTTATATTAACCTTGTCATTTTTAGCTAAACGATCTTCCTCGACCCCCATTCATGGACAAAACGCCGAAAGAGCTGGGAATCGGCTCATGGGGCGAAATTTGCACGATCTCCAAAGACACGTCTCTAATCGAAGCCTTAAAGATTTTCCTCGAGAAACGGGTATCAGCCCTGCCGATCGTCGACGACGACGGAACGGTAAGAATGTCAAATAGATTTTAAGAGGAAGAATGTTAAATACGAGTAATTCTGGGGTCAGGTTTTACCTTCTTAGCTAATTTTTTGTATTTATGATTAGTTTTTACGAGAAGGGTCTATTTATAAATGGCAAATATATAGTTTTTTTTAATTTTTGAAATTTTTTTAAAAAGGTTTTATAAGCTTGATTTTGAACTGCCATTTATAGTGCGATAATTAACTTCTGATGCACTTTAAGGTTGTGGATATTTATGCCAAATTTGACGCCATCAACTTGGCCGCCGACAAAACCTACAACGATTTGGATGTGACTGTCAGTGATGCCCTAAAGCATCGTTCTGATGTAAGTTTTTGGAAAATTATTACCTAAATTTTAAATTTTGGAACGATGAATTATATGTTTTTACATTTGTTACCTAAATTTTCGTTTTAAAATTTTATAATTATATTTGTTACCTAATTAGTTTTTCATACACACACCATAGTTCGTTACCTAAAGCCCATTAATTCCATCAATTTTCAGTGGTTCGAAGGCGTTCGAACGTGCTCAGCCTCGGACTCAATCGCCGTAGTTATCGATACACTGGTCAAGGCCGAAGTTCATCGACTGATCATCTCGGACGACAACCAGAAAGTGGCCGGCATCATTTCCTTATCAGATATCCTCAAACATTTGATAATCGAATTGCCAAAACTGGCCGAATCTCCAGTCGACGAACTCATCACTGAACCCATCAAAACGACGCCGATTCAAGAAGCCGAAGCCGAAACCACACCAGAATTGGCTTGAACTGCGGGTTTTTACTGTGCTAGCTGGTACTATAAAGTTTTTACTGTGCTAGCTATTTCTATAATGTCTATGTTAGGGGTTGCTGATGTAAATGACAGAAATATTAGCTATCTGACATTGTAATTACGATATTTGTGTAAATTATACTATCTTATTATCTTTGAGGAATTACGGCTGATTTTTTTGGACTTTAAAGATATTTTTTTAATAAAAGGAATGTTTTGATACCAAAAATGGTATATTTTGGACCAAACTACGAAAAAAATTTTTTAGGTAACAAAATGGTTTTAAATACATTTTTCTTTGGTAAAAACTATCAAAAGAATGAGTAAAGGCCGCAATTTCAGATTCATATCGAATTATTGTAAATGATAGATTGTTAGTTCAAATTATGACATCAAACTGTTATTTATAAAATGTACAAAGATCTATTTTATCTCTTTTCTTGTTGACATTGTGATTTACTGTGCTTTTAAGCGCTGTTTTAGTGTATTAGGTACGATTCTAATGCTTTTTATCCCTATTTTAATGGTTTTTCTGTAACATTTCATTAACGAAGCTTAAAATGTTACCTAAATTATATTTTTTTGACTTAAGCCAATGTTTTTAAACCTAAAAGTACCCTTTTGAACCTAAAAAACTAGTAATAATATATTACTTAATAATAATATATTCTATGGTAAAGCACAACTATATCTTTATTATATAAGTATCTTTATAAAACTTTGTTTCGGATGTCTGGGCAATGTCCTCAAAAGCGTGCTGCCTATAGTTAAACAGTTACTTCTATACCTACTACACATACAGAACAGGTTATCGTCTCACATTGTTATAGCCATCGTATGTCAAGACTCGACTTCTTAATGACGTTGTTACCCTAAATAAAACGTGTATATAAACATCAGTAGCGTTTATTATCAACAATGAAAGCCGACGCTGACTTATCTTTAAGAAAAAAGTTAACAATTGAGGCAAAATATTTTTTTCTATTATATTAGGTTAAAAATCCAATTCATGTCATTAGTTAGTCAGAAAATTGAAGAAGAACACCTCAGAGCACTTCAAAGCAAGGAAACGCAAATCCAATGATCTGGCCAATAATTGACACTCTTCAGCATCATCCACTTGAATGTTCTCCATCAAAAACAACTCGCACTGTGCCTGAAATGGGTACATTTACAATTACTATAAATAACATTGCATAGTTTCTTTTAAAAAGCTTTACAGGCATTAAATACGATTTCTATCAGCATTATATTGTCTTTAAACATTCTAAAATATAAGTTCTCAAACATACCCTTAAAAGCTCAATCTCGTAACGGTGAGCTAGTTGGAGTACCCTCATCGCAAGTTTAACATCACGAACATTTTTGTTATGATACATAAACAACAACATTGCTCTAACGACTTCTGAATCTTCTGTTAATACCAATGTCCCATCCTGAACTTCTTTCATTCCGGATTGAAACATTGCTTTGAATACAGGCGATTTTAAAGCCAAAATACCTTTCGATACCTAAATTATTATCTTTCAAGATTTCCGCAATTCTGTCGCACGATACGACTCCCCAGCTTATAAGTTATTACCTAAAATCACAAAAGAATAAGAAATTAACTTACGAAAAAGACTTCTTCTCCCGTTTTAATCTTGAAATCGCTGAAACATTTATCGTTGAACACACCTTCGTCAGGAGTTTCTTTGATTTTGTTTTTTTGTCCTAAACAATCAAGGTTCAATTGCAATTGACCATAACGATATCAACTCAAAATACAATAATAACAAAATTTAATATGAAAACTTTAGTATTCTATCAAAATGAAGCATCAAACCGTAGCTCATGAGTTAGGGCAGCTATTAAAAAGTTAACGTACTTTTCAATTTCTCAATCCGAGATTGGATCAACTTCTGACGTTCCTTCAACTTGGCTTCGTCGCCCATATTAGGCTGCGTCCAACAATAATGGACGGAATCCATAATTGGCGGAATCAATAACCTTTTACACAATATAGCAAGATTAAAGTTGAAAAAATGCAAAATTAAAAGTTAACGAAGTAGTTTTTCTTTATTCAACAAATTTAAAGTTATAATCACTTATAATTATAACATTAAAAATAAAGTTTGTTTCGGAAAATTCGTCAGTTTGTCCAAAAAAGGAGTCAGTTTGTTGAAAATAACGGTAGAAAGAAAATTTTTGGGAGAAAATCAAACTTTTTAGCTGTAAAAGTTTAGAATTATTCTGTAAGCTTTGTCAATTGAATTTTCGGGTTTTTTTACTTTTTAGGTTTTTAGATGTATAATGTAATATTTTTGAATATTTTCAGAAAATTAACTTGTCACACACACTCTACAGCAGTTGCAGCAGCAGAACAATCATTAGGACTATTAGATCAGTACCAGCAGGTAAGTCTTTGTTGGTTTTTTGTTTTTTAGGTAATAAAAGGACGAAAATATATATTGAGGACGTAGTTAGCGTTGAAAACGTATTATAGTTTGTTATAGCTGCTGTTACCATTCGTTCTATCGATGGCACGTTGTTTATAAACTTTTTGGTTGTGAAACACACTGTTTTTTTCTTATTTGGAATGATAAGTTGTGCTACTTGCTTACGCAAGAAATTATAACATAAAGCTATATTGTTTTAGACTTTTTTACCTATTTTTTTGAAGAAAAAACAAAAAATATGGTCTTTATAACAAATAGACCCTTTCAGAATAACATATCATATAAATAACTTAACGTAAGATCAGCTATCATAATCTACAATACATTTTGCACAATTCCTTTACTGTGTTATTGCTTTTTTGTTGACAAACACCAAGTCATAGTACATCCTGTACTATTACTTTCTCTTGTCTGCTAATTATAATGACAAATTCTTGACACAAGTGATGACATTCACTTTTGCGCACTCTTATTAGTTCCTTGTATTGTTTGTTTGTGTTCTATTTTGGGCTTTGTTTTGGCATGTTCCGGTTCGAACGGAACTGCGCGATTCCGTTTGTCTCTGCGGGTTGAAATTAAAGTTCAGCTCAAAATTAGAGTCAGAATTAATTTGGATTTTAGCAGGAAGTTTTGGCAATACTTAGAACCAGCTTTACCTTTAGCTGTAGCTCTAGCTCTATCTTCAGCTTTAAATCTAACTTTAGCCCTAGATTTCGTTCTATCTTTAACTCTGGCTTTACTTCTGGCGTTAAACCTGGCTCTAGCTCTAGCTTTAGCTCTGCTCTACGCCTAAGTTTAGATCTAGTCTTAACTCTATCTCAAACCATAGCTCTAGTTCTGCAATATCACTAACTCTTAACTGCACTTCATATCTATTCTTTTTCTTCCGCAATGGCACTGTCGCTTAAAGAACAATGAGTGTTTGTGTTTACATTAAAAGATGTTTGATCGTTCTTAGTTAAATTAAAGTTTTTCTTCCAAAAACTGTTTATTTATGTTTACTATGCCGAGGTTTTCCGATTACGTTATAGTTAAGACTTTAAAAACCACTATTGAAGCTGGGGTTACTGTATTTTGCGTATATCAAGTATGAGTGGATCTTTGACCAAGTTTTGTTGGTAGAAAAATATTGTAGGAAAGCGGCTTATGGTATCCTATTGATCAGAAATTTTTCAAAAAGGTTTGATCAATGGAGTACTGTAACGCAGCTTTATAACCATAAAACACTGTAATATTAATTTTTATTACCATAGAGTGAAAGTTGGTGTTACAGCAAACTTTAAAAAGCTCTTGGACTAAACAGTGCTCTAACATTTCATATCACACTCACTTTTTCTGGAATACGTCAAAGCGTATGGTGTTGCAAGTTGAAAGTCATATTAATGCGAATGTAAACAAATTGATGTCATTTGACTGAAATTCGAAGGCATTTCAACCTAAAGCCGGAAGGAAATCACTGCCAGATATCAACACAATAACACCATAAACTTGGCTTTGGCATCTTTATAAAGTTTTTGTTTTTATTAGGCATGAGAAATGCGAGGTACAATACAAAAAGTTGGGGTAGCATGGCGTAACATAGGGTAGAGTAGAGTAGGGCAAGGTAAAATAGTATAAAATAAAAATTTATTGGGTGGGATAGAATAGTATGGTTTAGTGGTAAAATATTTAATAGTACAGCAAAATTTTAATCAATAGTAAGAATACTGTAGAATTAGAATACACGTCTTTCAGACGTTTACAAAATCAAAAGTGAATATTATTCAAAAATAAAGATTATGTTTGTTATGTTGTAATAACGCCTTCGTAAATTCCGTCGGCTGTTACAAAGACTAAAGAATCTTTGCGATATCTTCTTTTACAATAGGTTAGGACAGAGTATGGTAGATTTACTTTAAAAAAAGGCAGGTCAGGGTAGGGTAGGTCAAGAAAAAAACCAAAAAAAAATTTTTTTTTGTGGGGTAACATTTTCCAAAAAATTTTAAATTAAGTTTACAACACATACTTTACAATAATCCGAAATGTCGAGGATTTTCTTTACAACCGGATGTTCACTTTGTAAAATTGCAGAAATGTTCTGGAATTTACAATGTTATTTGGCACGCTAATAAACTTGAAATTGGCTTTTGTTCTTAAAACTTGTTTTGAAATTCTTTGTTTAATTTTACAGTCTGGGCTTTTATTTCTTTAAATTTTATGTTACAGTACTAATTTCTCTAAGAACACGGTACTCGATTTTTGATTGTAAGTAAAGTCCTAATCTTTTGATGGTTAGTATAGAACCAATGTTCATAAGTAGTACAGTACCCATATGTATAAATAGGTACTATTTAATATTGAATTTTCTAATAATATCTTTCATGGATATTAATATACGGACGTAATAAAATCGAATTAAAGATTACTTGAGTATGTTATTTCGAGCTTCATTTGTTCTATTTTTGCATTTTTCAATAACCTTTTCCAGCGCCTACACCTAATAAAGAGCTGAATAGCCTGAGGGCAAGTCTAAAACAAATTAAAATTTGTGTGTTTATTCTTTTTTTCTTTTTAAGAGTTCAGTAATGCGTAAAAAGTAAAAATTATAATTTTTGGTTTTTGCACTTTAAAGTTTGTGGTTGGGGTTACTGTAGAAAGAAAATATTTTTTGAGTATTGAAACATTGTAAGGCGTAAGGCTAATGTAACGTTTGGGTTTGGCTTAACTAGGAGTCGCATTGGAGCTAGAACTGGGGATAGAGCTAAGGCTAAAGCTAGGGCAAAGGCTAGGGCGAGCGCTAGAGCTAGGGCGAGCGCCAGGGCTAGAAATAGAGCTAGGGCTAAAGATAGAGCTAGGGCTAAAGCTAGAGCTAAAGCTAGGGCTAGCGCTAGGTCTAAAGGTAGAGGTTAGAGGTAGGACTTGGACCATTGCTACAGCCGGGGCTTGCTTTCACGTTAAAATAACTGTGTGTGGTCTTTGTCTTTCTTGAGAATGTAAAAGGACGAGTCGATAAACAAATAAACAGTTTACATTTTTGTAGAAAAAAGCAAGAAAAATAAGATTAAAGGAACGGTTTGTGCCATCCTTTGAGTGTTATTTCGAGTCAAAGAATAACATTTTCTAATTTTGTTTTGATCTTGATAAGAAATTATTTTTGAGGTTAAAATACTGTGTCATGAAAGACGTTCGAAACCCATGTAGTCAAGGTTTGAGGTTAAGTTGCAGTGGGAGAACAATGTCGGGTGGAGTAGGCTAGGGCAGTGTAGAGTAGGGTACGGTACGGTAGGGCTGGGTAAGGTAGGGTAAAAAAGTAATGTCTAAAGTTAGACTGGGGTAACTTTTCATTCAAAAAATGATTATGTTAACCCCCGACAACATTATAAGCATGGAAAATAAATTTTATGTACCACCCTCACTGATAATCCACTTTAAAACATTCTATGTAGTTTGACTACGATATAATTCAGTGTCATTTTTAGTACGAAATCTTTGCTTTTTGACTCAAAAACATTTTTGAAATTTAATTATATAAAAAAAATCAAATTTGTTGGACGGAAATAGTCTACTCTCGTCTGAATGTAGAATTATGACGCTTCAAGACTAATTGATTTGAAATCCGTTTTAAACGGTTTGTTTTGATGGAGTCGAAATTGGGTATTAGAGGGTACTGTAAATTTTTGAGACTAAACAAATTGTTTGTTGGGGTTGATTTTTGAAATTTTAAGAACTGTAAAGATTTTGAAATAGCTTATTTTTTTAATTTATTGAAAGGGAGGAAAAGTTTCTTGAGGAAACGTTTTACCCTAACGTTAGCTCTAGCTTCAGGCTTAATTTTTTGTTTTTTTTGTTAGCCTTAGCTTTAGTCTTAGCTGTGGTATTACTTTGAGTGTTAGCTGTAGCCTTAGCTTTAACCTTATTCTCAGCCGTAGCTTAAGTGTTATTTTAGCCTTAATCTCAGACTTTTCGTATACCTTAGTCTTAGGCTTAAACTTACTCTTAAAGTTAGCTTTTTCTTTAGTCTTGGTCTGAGCCGTAGCCTCGTTGGCTAGCTCTAACTCTTAATTTTCATTTTTTGAATTTAAAATTTATTTTTAATTTTAAATATTTTTGCAGATTTTTTATTTCTAAATTATAATATTTTGCAATATCACAGCATTATCATCTTTTACAATCTCAACATACCGCCTAAACAATACAGTACAAAGCCAGTCCTAACCCTCTTTCCAGAACTTTCTTTTTGTTTTCAAATCAAATTTAAAACATTAAAAAACAGTTTAATCTTGCATATTGACTGAACGGGCTTGCACTAATCTCTGCACAAATACTCTTACCACTTGATAGGTTTCTGTACTAGCCGAAAAGCGGGGGGTGTTGACGTCAAACCGTTCGTTTTGCGTTTTTCAATGAATACTGATGGCTTCGTGAAAAGACAAAAAATTTATTTATTTTCGGCCGCGTTCTCGGCTTCTAATTTTACATTTTCGGATCTTTGTCTTTTATACTATGCGTAATTAGATTTTTGTGGGATAAGATGGTAGTTATGAAAGCGAATG